AAATAATTGAAATAATGTATAAATATATAGTGTAATATTACGTCGAAGAAGACTCAAACCTACCTAACTCTACCTTGAAAATAGATAAACTTGAAATATTACTTCTATAACTTATATTTCATACTCCTAATATACCCTTTAACTTCTATAACTAATTTTTTCACTTTCGTTAGATGAAGGGTATATGTGAGCTCCTTTTGTAATGGAAGAATATATATATGTGAGTCATTTGTATAACAGTAGAGGTATATAAGAGTCATTTTCATAATAAAGGGTATAACAGCTCTAAACGACAAAGTTAATGAATATATTAGACTCTTCTCCCTTACACAAACCATTTTATTCATTTCAAAACACTTAATTATTTTGATCAACCAAAATATGAACAAATTGAAACATTGTGCACCAAACACAATCCAAAAAGTATATAGTAAAATAAAAATAATACAAAAAGATGTTTATCGATAGAAGTGAGCAAAGCACGTGGATTGACTCTGATAAGACAATCACGTGCACTATTATTTTAAGTATGTAATTTGCAGCTTGGAGTCACTAAAGTCTATCTATTGTTACTTTCAATCAGTATTAATTTTGCAATTTGGGTTTGTGGTCCCTCTACATAGCAAACATTTTACAGAGGAATTAAGATTTTTTGTCCACTTACAAAATAAATAAAAAAAATAATTTTTAAGTATATTCATTTATCAAGTTATCGAAGATATAAAATGTGTCCACAAGAGTAGGAGTGAAGAGAAAGCGAAAGAAGAAAGTGTTTTCTCATTCGATTGATCAATTCATATGCTTGAATCGAAGCCCAAACTCATATTCTGACTAAGAAAAGTAGAACTTTCTACCTTGAGAACATTGATTTACGACCTTTCCAAATTAGGGAGCAGAGTGTGAACCTGAAATCAATATGAAAGATATTTAATGAGTTATCACAAGGATTAAAAGTTTTTAATAATTGAGAGACCAAAATTACTATCAGGCCGTCACAAATTATTATTTTTAAAAAAGAAACAAACAAACACCAACACAACATCATGTTAACGACTTGTTTGAATGACTTATAGCTTATGACTTATAAGCAACGAGCATATAAATTATTAATTCTAATTTTTTATTTTTGATTTATTTTTATTGTTTTGGCTTAAAAATAAATATCTAAAAATACTTTTTAATTTTAGTCAAAAACAAAAAAATATTCAAAATTTATTTTAACTTAAAAACACTAAAAATAAATCAATTCAAACAAACTCTAATTAATAGCATACATAAAATATATATTAATTTTATAGTATTTTCCAAATTAAAAAAAGAATATATATAGCTGTTTACCAAATTAATGAATGGTTGAATTGAATCTTTTTGTTTAATAAAAGTTTATCATAAAAAATATTAATTTGTGTTAAATGTAAAGACTATATATCTACAGCTAATTAAGAGGCCAATCAAAAGAGAGGTCATAATCTTATACAGAGAGGCGGCTAATTAAAGCAAAACAGTTGTAATTATGTTTGAATAGACAAGCCCAATCCAATCATAACTTTTCTTGGATTTAGTCTTATTTAATTTAATTATGAAAATTTATTTTATTTTTTTATTTCATTTCTAAAACATGAGATAAAGTTGTCATTAAATTAATCAGGCCGTTTGATAGCTAGTTTGGGAGTGAGTTATACATGTGTTAGATTTTGTATAAGTAATACTACATCTGGTTAGTCACTTAGTTGCTTATGACGTAGGTTAATCATATACGAAATTAATATGGTGTTTGGTTTGCAATTTAGAAACACACATAACTAATACATCTATAAGCTATGAGGAAATATAAAAAACACACATACATTTTTCCGAAGATTAAAATACAAAAGTTTTTAAAAAAATTCCTTCAAACGTGATTTGAGTTATGATGTAGCATATCTTGTCTGATGTTTGATATTCATATTGAGGTCTAATCTAAATACTCCTCTTACGAATCCTTGACCACTTACATTGTCCTACATTATTCAACTGAAATGAAATATTACTATCGAAATTGAATTATACAATGCTACCAATAATCTAGATTTTTTTCCATCTATGAATGAATCTTCCCTATTGAAAATTAACATCCCTCTAAGACTCCAACATTAATTTCAATGTTGATAACCCTACAATCAAATTGATACTATAATAATAAAAACTAATCATATTTAAGATATATATTACGAATCAAAAGTATACAATTTGAAAAGACTGACCAATTATGTTGTTTTGTCCATAAAAGATGTTTAATAAACTATACAATAAAACTAATAATTAATTCAGTTGGAATAAAAGTACACTTAGCATACCAGATTTGGCTCACTCAAACTTCATATAGTATAAAAATAATTTAAAAAAATTAGGGGACCAACTTGCACATTTTGTAAACTTGAGAAACTACAACTCACCTTCCTGTAACTTTTCAATTAATTATTTTTAAGTCCTTGAGGAAACAAAAATTAACAAGTTAGAACACCCGTGTGTACTAATTTCAAAGCATTAATTTTTTATTATTCTGTTCATGTTCGACTTGACACGTTTCTTAACATATAATAATAAAAATAATTTCTTTACATTATTTTTCCCAACAATTAAAAAGAATAATATTTAATAATCAAAAAAATTAAATATAATAAATTATTTTTAATATTTCAGATCTTTTATAGTGGATAAATAAAAATTAGCGGAGGAGTAATAACTAAATCCAACTTGTCATGTGGTGACGACAAGATTTGTTTAATTTCTTTCTCTCAATAAATAAATATAACGACAAAATTTTCAACTTTGATTAATGACAAAAATATGAATAAAATTCATGAATTTTTCATGCAAGATTATAATTTGTCCCCATGCATTTATTGGGGCCTACATAAGTCATCTCTCGTGTTGTTTTACCAAATCACTTCATGACAAATTCTTATATAAATTTAATTTACATAGTTTCAAAGCTAAATAATCACTTTTACCAAGTCCACATACTTAACGTAAAATAATTTAACATGCTTTATTCAAATCTTTATCTAACCTATATTTAGAAAAGTTACGATCCATCAAAGTTTTTATCTCATATGAGATAGAGATAAAATCTGTGTACATTTCACTTTTTTCGTAATTCACTTGTCGCTCATGCTGAGTATGTTATTGTTATTGTTTAAATTATTTTTTCTTCCTTTTTAATTTTTTGTGGATTGAACGATTGATAATTATATGTATCTAAATTAAATATTTTTTGATGATTTGTGACTTGCTATATCATTTTTATGAGATACTTGTTATTTTTCACTAAAAATATATACCAGATAACTCTATTTATAAAGACTAGAATGTATGAGAAGAAGTTACCTAATAATATCCAAACTACATTATTAACCATTATGCCCCACCTTAAATGCAAAAGTATGAACTAATTTTATATCAAGTACTGGAGTTTAATAAGTCATGTTATTAAGGGAAAATATGTTAAAATTAAATAATTTTACTAATAGAAATACAATACTCCCTCTATTTTAAGATGTATATGAAATTTAAGAAATATGAAAAGACTTTGAAATATTTTAAAACTAATCTTAAAAAAGTGTACATTTTAGTAGATTTTTTGCCAAACTAGTAGAACACAATATAGGTAAAATATTGATAATGTCATTAAATATTTGTCAACTAAGAATTTTTCATTCTTCTTTAGATAGACAAAAAAAAAATGTGTCATACAAATTGAGATACACAAAGTTTTCTTTTTTTAGACATTGTATTAAAAAAATGTGTCACATAAATGAAACAAATATGGGTAACTCCTTATTGTTTTTTCTTAATTAGTTAGTGTTTGAGCATAAATTATGAATCACATTTTTAAAAATTGTCATTAAATATCTGTTTGACCACAAAATTTCGTGCGTGATCATAAATTATGAATCATATGTTTTTTTTTAAATCTTTAAATATTTGTTTGACCATGAAATTTAGCGTTTGATCATAAATTAAGAATCACATTTTAAAAATTACCCTTAAATATTTGTTTAGCCATAAAATTTAATTTTATCAATTAAAATATTTATTTGACCACAAAGTTTTATCTTTTTCAAAATAAAATCAATATTCAAAATTCAAAAATCACAACTTTAAAATCTATGACCAAACGAAATCCTGTTTAATATCATACCATTCATGTTGGAAAAGTGAACCAAATACTAATTGATTTGGTAAAATTTGTATCATTCTTCTTTAGATGGACTAAAAAAAAAAATATGTCATATAAATTGAGACACACAATTTTTTCTTTTTTAGACATATTATCATAAAAAAGGTGTCACATAAATGGAATAAATTTGGGAAACTCCTTATTGTTTTTTCTTAATTAGTTAGTGTTTGACCATAAATTATGAATCATATATTAAAAAATTATCATTAAATATTTGTTTGGCCATGAAATTTGGTGTGTGATCATAAATTATGAATCATATTTTAAAAAAACTATCTTTAAATATTTGTTTGATCATGAAATTTGGCGTTTGATCATAAATTAAAAATCATACTTTAAAAAAATATCCTTAAATATCTGTTTGACTTTATCTGTTAAAATATTTATTTGACCACAATCTTTTAAATTTTTTTCCAAATAAAATCAATATTCAGATACAATTTTGAAAAATCAAAATCACGATTTTAAAATCTAGGATCAAACGAAATCCCGTTTAATATCACACCATTCATGTTGGAAAAGTGAGCCAAATAATTGATTTAGTAAAGCTAGTGTCATGCACACTTGTCGCAGACGTAGTAAAAGAAAATATCCACTCAAACCATAGTAATTATTTTTCCTTTTATTATTATTATTTTCTTAGAGAGAGAGAAACTAATCCAACTTCGAGGAAATCGCAGCAATAGACTTTTTCTTATTATTTTTCCTTTTTTAAAAACTATTAGAGTATAACTCAAAACCCCAATAAATACCTCACACATCCAAAGCATTTCCTCCCACTCAATATTGTGATACTCATTTCTCACACACAAAAAAAAAAAAACACTACTACTTTTGAAGAAGAATACCAAAATTCAATTGATTAAAGATAAATAAAATGGTTAGAGCTCCTTGTTGTGAGAAGATGGGGTTGAAGAAAGGGCCATGGACTCCGGAAGAAGATCAAATTCTCATCTCTTACATTCAATCAAATGGTCATGGCAATTGGAGAGCCCTCCCTAAACTAGCTGGTAATTAATCGCCTCAAATTCCGACTCTACCTCTGTTCACACTTAATTTGGGCCACTCAAAGCCCGTTTAAGAGAAACAGGCTTTTTGTCAGGAGCTTTTTCGCTCCTTTGGACAATCATTTTGTTTCCATTTTCGGTCGAATAAGTTTGTTTCGGGCTTTGTAAAGCCCGGTAAACAACAAACGGGCTTTTTCATTTTTTATCTGAAAAATTGGCGAAAATTGAAAAAAAATTATTTACTAGAACTTAATGTGGCATTTTTAATTAGTAAAACTAATATTTTTTTTAAATTAATTATCAGGATTATTGAGATGTGGAAAGAGTTGCAGACTTCGTTGGACAAATTATTTGCGTCCAGATATTAAAAGAGGAAATTTCACAAGAGAAGAAGAAGATAGCATTATTCAATTACATGAAATGCTTGGCAATAGGTGAGTTTATAATTTTCATTTTTTTTTTCAAATTATTATTTACTAATTTTAGTAAATTGGGTTTCTCGAATATTCTTTTCTTTTAGATCTGTCACATTCATATAATATAGTTTTTTTTTTCTTATTTAAACAAAACAAAAAGAAGAAATAAATTAAAGGACTTTTAAAAAGAGTGAAACGGCAAGAAGAATAATGATCATAGTTCTAAAAAAGCTGATTTTTCTTTTTTTTTAAAAAGAGTATTGTCTTTATCACATTCAGTAATGTCTTGCATGCTGATAATCATTATTCACAAAAATAATTAATCAAACTTTATAGTTTTTCCTTTAATTTATTTCCTTTTTTTAAAAGCCAATATTACCAAGCATTCAATGAAGTTACATTAAATATATTATTTTTATTATTTTAATCATTTATCTTTTGATTTTGTTTGTATCTAGGAATAATCCAAAGATTATGAAAAAGATTCGTTTAGACATGTTTTTAGTTGCATTAATTAATCTCATTTGCAAATCTAGTTGCATTTAATTATAAGTTAAACAAATCAAGTCATGTGGTGCATAGCTCCATAGGTTCTTGTGACAAAATAATTAAAGTTTTAAGCACTATAATAATTCTTGTCCACTTCGCTAAATTAATTAAATCACAAAAAGATTTGTTTAGATTTGTATTAATTAAATTTTCCTTTTTTTTTCTTCAGATGGTCTGCGATAGCAGCTAGATTATCGGGACGAACAGATAATGAAATTAAGAATGTATGGCACACTCACTTGAAAAAAAGGCTTAAAAATTATCAGCCTCCTCAAAACTCCAAAAGACACTCAAAAAACAACAATGATTCCAAAGCTCCTTGTACTTCTCAAATTGCCTTGAAAAGTTCGAACAATTTTAGCAACATCCAACAAGACGGGCCCGGGCTTGGGTCTGGCCCGAACTCTCCACAATTGTCATCTAGCGAGATGTCGACTGTCACGGCCGATTCACTAGCCGTGACAATGGGCATCTCGAACGGTAGTGGTCAAATGGACTCATCTGAAAATTTTATCCCAGAGATCGACGAGAGTTTCTGGACAGACGATTTATCCACGAGTGGTGGTGAAGAATTACAAGTTCAATTTCCATTTCATGACATGAAGCAAGAAAGTGTGGAGATGGATGTTGGAGCAAAATTAGAGGATGACATGGACTTTTGGTACAATGTTTTCATAAAGTCTGGGGACTTATTAGAGTTACCAGAATTTTGAGGGGTTAATTTGGTTGTTTTCAAAACTTGAAGTAGTGGAATGCCAACTAATTATTAGTGGTGCTTTGGGATTTTTTGGGAGTCGACAAGTTTGAAAATTCTTGTTTGTTTATTGACTTTAAAGTTCTTGAGAGGACCAACAAAAAAAATACAAGTTGATCCTTTTCTTTTCATTTTTTAGCTAGGAATTTTTTTTCTTTTTATTTTCATATTTTTATTTTGAAACTTTTTAGTTTAGTTTAATTGGGAAAAAAGTATAGTGGATGGTGATGTGAAAATGGAGATATTGGAGAAAAGAATTCAAGAAACTCTATTTATATCCTCCTAACTTAATTAGATTAATTGTATGTGAAGTATATCCTTCATTCCTTTGTAACATCACATTTTACCAATAAAAGTAAAATAAATAAATACAAGGAATTTGTTATTCTTCTTATCCTCTTGTCATTGGATGAATTGTTATGCATCCTTAATTTACTAATTTACTAATTCACTTTTTCTTTTTAGGATCATATGTGATATTTGATATTTATTGACATGACCATAGTCCATATGAGATTCATATCATGTCAAATATTCTAATAGAGGATATATGGTTTTTTTTATGAAATTTCTGATAAAGGACGGAGGAATAATCAGTTTATCCATTTACACCTTGAAATTGTTTTAACTCGCTCATAATTTAACTATGATTTATTGGGTCTTCGTTTTTAAAAAAAATAAAAATCTATCAACATGAGACACTATATTCACTTAAGATCTTAATTTGAGCTTCACCATATTTCACTTGAGACACTATATTCACTTAAGATCTTCATGGAAAAATCCTTTTGGTCAGAAAATTTGGTCAGAATGGTATTTTACCTATGTTATTTTATTTTTTTTAAATATTTTTACCTTTTTAACTTTAATACCTTTTAATTTAAAAAAAATGGAAAACAAATTAGTTTATTTAAAATAAAAAAAACATTAAACACTTTTTAAATTTTTGGCCAAATTTTCTAGCCATTTAGCATTACCCTAATAATATTATATCAATAATTGTTTAAAGAACTTCTGTCGGCTAAAGAACATTTTTTTAAAAAAAAAAGAGGAGAAAATGTTGATTGCTGTTTGGTTTTAAACATTGATGTGCAGGTACAAATGATAAATCAAAATAATTTTGACGTGTAAATTAATTTTTATCATGGAAGTTCAAATATATTGCATGTCAATCCATTGAAAGCAAAAGTTATCCTTTCTTTTATTTTTATTATTATTTTGGAGTTTCGACTAAATTCAAATTCCTCATTGTAGTGTCATATTTGGGGTGGTATCCGAATCGCGCGCTGCAAAGCTCATTCGAAAGTGGCGCTCTCAATAAAAAAATTCTTCATATCTAGGACTCGAATCGAAAGCTCTGATTAGTGATGAAACAGTTTCATTATTATACCACAACCAATGTTGGTGACGCAAAATCTATGCTATGGTAAAATGACACATCACTTCTTAAATAGTAGAAAACGTTTTATTTATTTTTAATAAATGTGGCATGTATCATAATTTAACCACCGTTTTGGTGGGTTCGGTATCAAGAATTATTATTTTCCATAAAACAAACGTTTTTCTGAAAAATATTTTCCTATTCTTGGAAAATAAGTATACTTCTTTTTGTGTGTTTGATATATATTACAGTAAAAATATTTGTATGTAATTTAAACAAAGATGTGGAGTGCTGAGATGTGGGCTGCCGGGATGAGGTGCTAGATGAGATGTTTTAGAAATGAGATAGACACGATCAATATCTTTTTCAAAAATTTAATCAATCGACATGAAAAACTTAGAAAATATTTTCCTCCGCACCGACACACCCAAATGAACTTTTAGGCAATTCCAAATCACAGGAAATATGTGTGTGACAGTTTTATTAATTCCTTTCCACAGTAAAATTGGCCATATAGTTCATGGAAGTGGATTTTATTATTGAGATTCTTTTTTATGAAAATGTTGCAGAAATTTACTTGATGTTTCATATTCCTTTAGACAATCAATTAATTTTGATTCTTATCGAAAATTCAACTATCAAGCTAAAGATGTTTTATATCGAAGACAAGTGTAAGATTCGAATCTCAATCTTTAATTAAAAATGAATAAATATTTAATTAGAGGCGGATGGAGATTTATAAAATTTGCATAAAAAAACAAGGTGTCCACTATTATTCAAAGATCAAATACATATACTTTGTGGAAAAAATAAATTTGCATGAGAAAAACAAGGTGTATATAAATAATAATAATATTCAAAAACACTGGGGTACATAATTTTCTGACAAAATTTCAACATCAAAATTATATTTACTTTAGACCTAATTCATCCACAATAATCATTGCATAACGTTAACCTACATGTGAAAGATAACCGTCTAAGAGGCGGATCTAGTATATTAGCTATTAACTTATTCAAATTTAATAATTTTGACTCAAAATTTGTATAAAAATATATTTCAAACCTAGTAAATCAACCGAGTACATGATATATCTCAAAATTAAACACATAAAATTATAAGTTCTAAATCTGCTTCTAATGATATATGTCCATACATTAGTACTTAGAGATTATGATCTTTAAAAATACAGGCGCACTAAGCTCCTCCTATATATGTGCAGGATTCGAAAAAAGATTAAACTATAAAAATTTATTATTACCTTATATTTCTGCGACTGATCTCTAATTAAAATGGACATGCTAACCACAATAGCTTGATTATTCCATTTTCTTGTCTATATCAAATGATATGTTGCTATTTTGATAGTCAAATATTATTTTTCTTAGTTATAATTGTCAAATTTAAAGTACTTTTCTATAATTGCGTGCTAAAAATATCTAATGTGTATATATATATTAAAAGAAATGGAAAAGGGGAATAGTCGATTTCACAGGACAGTTGATAATACAATTCGATTTGGACTATTGTTTTCATATTTATAATAGTGTGAATAGAAAATTTAGCTCCAAGTTATTTGAGAATAGTATTAGTAGAGGTAGGATACGCAAGTTCAATAGAACCTAGTAATTTTAATTTTGTGTTCATATTAAAAATTCATCAAATATGTATAAAAGTTGAAATTGTCTTAAAATTCAAAACTCATAAAATGTAAATCATTATTCCGTCTCTAATCATATAACAAATAACATGCTAGTTGCATAACAATATTTTCTAATGATCTAATTAAGACATATATTTATTCGCACCTGATATTTGCATCAATTCAACAAATATATACATGATACATCATGCATGCATTCACATACACTTTAAAGGACAACCTATTTTAATTTTTTTTTACTATATAGTGTCGAAAAAAGAAACACGTTGAAAACATAAAGAGAGAAAACTCTATGTAGAAACAAAGAAAATTATGGATGTAGAAAAAAGACCATTTACTTGTCAAATCAGGTGAAAATTTCTACTGAAAATGACATGATTTTGTTATTAACCAGAAAATAACTTTAAATTCACACATAGACCTTTAATGGTCTTCCTAACTAGTCAACATGGAATTAATCAGTAATATGTTGAATCTTGGATTAAAAAGAATGTCCGAGTTGGTTGAACATGAAATATTTTAAATGAGATATATTTTAGGTTTGAAATTTCTGTATATTTTCTCAATTGAGCTTGTTGTATAAAAGTGGTTTCCTTTCTTTAATTCACATGCACAAGAGGGTCAAGTTTGAATTGTTGTGAAAGTTACTGAATGAATCTGTTCGATTTAAAAAGAAAAAATCACAAATTTGAACCTATGACATTAGGTTTTGGAGACCTACAATCTATAGAGATCTAGAATTTTCACTAAGAGGGTCTAAAAAGGTTCGAAAAAATAAAATATAGTGTCTAAGATTTGAACTTGGAACCTCAAGATAAATTTTGAATCCCCTAAACTAGTACTCTTGCTAAATTAATTTTTTTTAAATACACTTCTATATATGTACAAAATACAGTGTTATTTTTTGCCAAGAGGGTTCAGGTGAAAACCCTCGCCCTTGGTCACATAGAACTGCCTAATGCAATTTACCTCTCGTGTGTGATTTATGGACTATTATACTAAAGTAAAATTTATTCTATGTATACCTAACAAATAGCGATTGCTGGTTCTCATAAACTAAAAATCCTTATCCAAGTTAAGGCCAAAATATTGAATAATATTGTTCTTAAGACTTTTATTTAATGTGTCTTGAATTCTTCATCTATCTCTTTAATGTGATGATTTCGACTACTCTTTCGCTCACTTCCACATTTAATTGAATCAAAAGGACTAGGAAAAGTAGTTCAAATTTCTTTTAGGATTAGTCGAAAAGCAACAATATATAGTTTACATACTTTTATAATTTTTTATAATATAAAGTAGAATTTCTTGTTAGTGATGTAGTTAGTAAATTTCTTACTCTCTTCCTCCGATATCATCGTATAAATTAGGACGGAAGGAATATGTCTCAAGAAAACTTCGAGTAAATTATCTTTCAATTTTAAAAAAGAAAAGGTAAAACTAACATCTTTTAAAATTGATACAAAAGGGACTCTCATAAATCATTAGTAGTCAATCGAAAAACTTTGATGAAATTCTTAATGCCTAGAGTGATCAAGCAAAATTCAAAAATCAATTCATTTTTTTTAAATACCTTCTATATACGTACAAAATACAGTGTTATTTTTTGCCAAGAGGGTTCAGGTGAAGACCCTCTCCCTTGGTCGCATAGAACTGCCTAATGCAATTTACCTCTCGTGTGTGATTTATGGACTATTATACTAAAGTAAAATTTATTCTATGTATACCTAACAAATAGTGATTGCTGGTTCTCATAAACAAAAAATCTTTATCTAAGTTAAGGCCAAAATATTGAATAATATTGTTCTTAAGACTTTTATTTAATGTGTCTTGAATTCTTCATCTATCTCTTAAATGTGATGATTTCGACTACTCTTTCGCTCACTTCCACATTTAATTGAATCAAAAGGACTAGGAAAAGTAGTTCAAATTTCTTTTAGGATTAGTCGAAAAGCAACAAGATATAGTTTACATACTTTTATAATTTTTT